GAAAACATCCTAGACAGAAGAGCCCTCCATCTGTTCAGTATTCTACATCAATTCAGGAAGGAATGAAAACCAAGATGACTATCAAAAAATCAAGAATAGAGTTGGACAATTCTTGCTTGACCCCAGTTTGGATGACAAATGGAAAGGCCTCCAGTCTGCTACATTAGATGACCGCAGTCATCTGATCCTGGAGAAACCTCAGGACCTTGATGTACATTTCATGGCATCCAAATCAGCCAGGACTTTCCACAAGGCTTCATGACTCATGGAATCGAAGGCTTTAGTGAAATTGAAGATGGCCATATACAGGTCCTGCTGTTCTTCCTGTTACTTTTCTTGGACCTGATGGGCAACAAAGATCATGTCAGTTGCCACACTGGATGATCTGAAACCACACTGAGATTCTGACAGGATTTCCTCAGCAAGAGGTAGAAGTCAGTTCAGGAGGATGCAGGCAAATATTTTCCCTGCTGTGGAAAGGAGGGCAATACCTCAATGCTCAGACTTATCTCCTCTCTGGAAGATAGTTGTGATGTTGGCATTCCTCAGGTCCCCATTTCTTCCCAATGGTGCCACTCCAGAGTTCCAGGTCACATCTGTCTCTGGCACTGAAGTCACCAAGGAGAATGATCTTTTCCTTGTGAGTATTAGTCAGAATGTGGTCAAGGTCAAAGTTAAACTGTTCTTTGACATCATCATCAACATCAAGCATTAGGGCATATGCACTAATGACAAAGGTGTACTGGTTGTTGCTGCACTTAAGATGAAAGGTCATAAGACACTCATTAATGCCCACAGGGAACTCTGTAAGTTGTCTGATGAGCTGGTTTTTGATGGCAAAGCTGACACTGTGAACACGTCTGTCCTGGGCTCCCCTTCCAGAAGAAAGTGTAGCCCCCACCCTCTTCCCACAGCTACCCCTCATCCGGTTGTTTTGTCTCGCTCAGAGCTGTGACATCGATGTTGTATCTCACTAATTCCCTGGAGACTATGGCAGTTCTTTTTTCTGGTCATTCATTGCCTTAGCTATGCATCAAGGTGCAAATATTCCTCATTGTAAAAATCATTGTCTTGTTACAATGTTTTCAACAGCAGACAGAGTTATCCCATCAGACACCGTTATCCAGTCAGAAACAGATAAGATAGTCTAGGTTTAAGGCACCTTTTCTAGCCCCTTCCCCATGTGAGATTCATTAGAAATGGGGCTCATTACAAAACACCATGGTATTTTGTAATGAGCCACATGAATGAGCACAGTGTCAGAGTGAAAATGCATGCTTTGCAGCTGTGTAAGGAAACATGGACTTTGGAAGACGTGTCAAAACAGTTTTGCTGTTTCTGTAATAGGGTTGATCTGGATCAATTATTGTGACTTAGGCCCCCTCTACACAAGCAGGTAAAGAAACAATAGGATCTAACAGACACAATTGTACCTCCTCCCACACCACATGTGCATGACAGGAGGTACAACTGTGGGATCGCACATTAGATCCCATCACATCTTATCACGGGTAGAGGGAGAAAGCTCCCAGCCATGGGGGTGCCCCGTGTACCTCTGAGACTGAGAGATCGCAGCAGCCATGATCTCCCAGGCCCAGTTGTGATCTCCCAGGCCAGGGTGTGTGAAACCCCTGGGTCCTGGGGATCAAGGCAGTCATGATCCCTAGGACTTGGGAGTGTATGAAACCCCCAAATCCTAGGGACTGTACCTGCCTCAATCCCTAAAGCCCGGGGGTTCAGGTTGGTGCACCTCTGTGGCTGGAAGCCCCCTCAGTTAACATTTTCAATGTCTAACTTTATAGCTGGTTGGAGCATTTTATTATGTGATAGCTACTTTGCATGTGTGGCTGGTCTTAAGGTAAATACACAATTAAACAGTTCATTGTGCAATACCTGTAATGTGTAGGAGGGTACCTTAGTCACTAAATAGCTCTTTAAGGCCTGCTTAGGGACCTACATAAGGCTGACTCAGATCTGGCCCTAAGTCATTAGGTATGAAAAGATTCTTGTAAAGATGTAGATAATTGATCTAATAGATTGCAGGGGCTTCTTCACAGTCATTAAGTTTGTCATGTCAATATGTTATTAGGGACTTCTATAAATGAAGACTAATGATGCAATAGGTAATTATCACTAAGAAGCTACTGCATTTTTCAGTCTTTGGAAAATGTACTTTGAGGAGAATGGGGTCAAACCCTCCTTGGATCCACCTTAACTCCATTCCTGTTGTAGACCATGGAGGAGATTTTCAAAGGTACAAAAGGGAAGTAAGTCTGTGAATTTATTCAAAAGGCAATGGGAGTTGAGCAACTAAATCCTATTTGTGCCTTTGAAAGTCCCCCTGTATATAGAAAGTGCAGCAGCTCCTCAGATGTACTAAACCACAAGCTAAAAATCCTTCTGAATATTTTTTCTTTCTAAACAAATCTGAATATGCAGCATAGATGCCAGTTCTAAATTAAATACCGCAGTCATGTTGTTTTTTTTAGGGCTTCCCACAAGAATAAAACTTCCCCATTGTTCCCCTATTTGCAAATGGCCTTCAACATTACAGTTGGGAAAAAAAATGTTAACTTGCAGAAACACAACGCAAAGCCCCTAAAGCAGGCGTGGGCAAAATAAGGCCCGCGGGCTGGATCCAGCATGCCAAGGGATTTAGTTCAGTCCACAGCAAATCCCTCAATCCCACCCAGATGAAGCATGGGGGATAGCCTGAGCCATGGTGCATGAGGCTGGTCCCACCGTCCCCATGCACACAGCAAAGCCAGGGCAGTGCAGTGCCCAGATTTGCTTCATAGACATTCGGGCTGGAAGGGACCCCGGAGGATCATCAAGTCTTACCGGCAGCTCCGGTGGCAGCAGCTCTTTCTGACTGCTGTTGCCACCAGACCCAGCCCTGCTGCCCTGGCACCCCAGTCTGTCTGCTCCACACACACTGATGGGGGCGGGACCCATGTGGGCAGGGCACACAGCTGGGCAGATGGGATGAGGCCATGGGAAGGTGGGGAGTAATGTCTGGGAGTGGGACTGGAGGTGGGGCCAGGATTATGTGGCGGTGACAGCATGGGGCCAGGGCAGAGCTGCGATCAGCTGCCCATATGTCTCTGCCTGCAGAACTGGTACCCGCTGCAGGGGTGTTCAGGGAGTGGATTGCGGAATGGCCCCACACTGTCACCACCCTGCAATCCTGGCCTTAGTCCCACCCACTCATCCCGCTCCTGGATGCTGCCCCCTGCCTACCCACGGCCGCATCCCAGCTGACCAGCTGAGCACAGAGCAGAGCCACTTTAGGGAGTTTTGGTGAGCTGTTGCAAGGGTGAGGGGGAAGGTGCTGACCCAGCACAGGAGAAGGTACCTGTGACAGCTCACCAAAATTCCCTATGTGGCCCTGGGGCCCAAATAATTGCTCACCCCTGCCCTAAATCCAATAACCTGGCTTATGTACATGTCAATTTTTTTCAAGTTATTTTTTCTCTAAGGCTAGGATTCAGAATGCCAAGCATGGAACAGAAAAGAAATAGTAGAGCCCCATTATGATTTCCTTTGTACACATCTCTCAGAAAACTGGACCTGCTATCCCAGTGTCTCTTCTCATTTGCACAGCAGTAACTTGACAAATATATATATATTTTTTTTACACAGCTTTATCTTTTTTATATGAAATGTAACTGGCTTAAAAGACCAACCCTTTTTATATACACTTTTTAATCCAAGTAACAATCACATTATCATGCAATTTAAATAGGATCATGATTGAAATAATGAAATAATATAGTTTGATTGGCCATTGTGGATGAGGTCAAACCTTTGATAGGTAACTGGTGTCAAACAAAAGTTTGAACAGGGTACAAAGGGGAATGACATTCACTTGAATGAGGAAAGAACATGTTTTATCCACCACTAAATTTAAAACTTAGAAGAGATTCAACGGAAAAGGACTTGGTATCCTAAAATGCTTAACTGATTATGTATTTTGAAGAAACATATCTCCATATCACAGAAATGTATCTGGCACCTACAAAACCCTCCTGTTACTTTGAAAGAGAGAGAATAGTTTGTTTTATTATCTTTTTCTCATTTTAACTCCTTACTTTTATGTTTATGTGCCTCAATATATACAGTCTACTTGGAATCAGAGAGTAAATTGCCAATAAGCAGACAGCACAGGGTAAGAAGTGAACTTTATTGAAAATTTAGTGAAAATTTTTAGTGAAAAATTTAGTGAAAATTATCTTGGACTGCAGGGAAACTTAACTCATGCTGTAGGGAAATTATTCCTTGGCTTGGGGACACAAACCACAAAAAAAGACTAAAAAAGAAAAGACATTTACAGGTGTCAAGGAACCATCAAGCATATGCTTATACAGAATAGAGATTTGAATTGCCAGAAGGAAAGATGCTTCACATTGCTGAAGTTACTAGAGAACTGCTTCAGTGTCATGTTCCAGGCACCAGTGTGCATAGGAAAGGGGCACACTGGAAAACAAGGCTTTCCTAGCTCTGTCTTTCAGTGTAGAAATAGACAATAATATTCAGTACACATTCTCCATGAAGTTACCCTTGACAGGTCATTTGCATGCAATAGCAGCATACATGTTATTGAAGATTGTTTCTTTCTGAGGTTCATTTCAGGAATTCATCTACAGCACTTATATGTGCTGTTTGATGTATCTATTTTTATGACGGAAGCATTTTTATTTTATGTTTACTCAATTTTTCAAGTTTACCATCTTTGATAACAAAATAGCAAAGAAGTTGTTCCAGTCATACAATCATAAAAGTGAAATTGGACTGCTTAAATCCATATGGGACTAATCCTCAAGGAATTAAAATAACCCTGATCACTGAAAACTTCTCCGATCACTGATCTGTGGATCACTTATTATGAGAAACAAATACACTCGGAAAAGTGACACAGGTCCAATAAGCTACATCATTCTCATTCTGCTGATGGAGGCCGTACATATTACAAGGTAGCGAAACAGAGTGGAATTTCTTACCTTTATGATGGTTTGCCCCAGATGCTAATTTCCCCCAGAGTGTTACAACAAATATTATTATAAGAAGTTTTCCTTTTGTTGCTTTCTGTAAATATCTCTTATTCATCCTGAAAATGAAAATACAAAAAAAAAATTTAAATGAAGCTTTTTTTCCCCCAATAAAAAGCTCTATTTTTTATTTTTTTTTACAATTTGAAGGTAAATTTAATGATTGCAACAGGTGTCTGATTGACAGCCCTGGAATTAGAAACCCTGTTTATTATAAAAAAGGCAGAGCATGGACAGTATTAGTACAGTCTCCAAACCCTAATCTGCCAGGTTCCTCAACCTCAACAGAAAGGCTGTATCTAGGACTTATCAAATGTTTTATGCCTCCATCAGCAGGGCTTGTATGTAATCTCAATCAGTGTTCTCTAGCCTCTCAGGGGAAGTCATCAATAGATACCCTACTAACCTTGACCTCATGATGAATTCAGTCTAGGGTGCCTTTGCTGAAGCAAGATAATTTCATTCTATCATCATGGACCTGCCAAGATCAATCTGGCCCTTAACTCTAGTAGAGTGGCATTCAGCCTTTAGCTCTACAGTCACCTGCAACCCTTTGAGCAATATAGAGGGGATGCATCTGATTAGAGCACTAGCAAATGCAACACCCTATCATAGGAGAGATCCCCATGTTATTAGACATACATGAGGTGGCCAGCAGAATGCTGAGTCACATGGGATTCAGAACCATCCCTCCTATTTAGCCCAATAACCAGGCACAGATAGGAGATACTGGGCATGTCTACACAAGACTCTAAAAGCACATTAGCGCATCACAACAAAAGCCATGCTAATGAGCTAATGCTCAGTAGAATTAGTCTACTGAGCATTAGCAGCATTTAAAATGTGAACACCAGTGCTACTGTGGAGTAGTACTGGTTACTTCACATTGAGCTAGTACAGGTACTAAACATAATGAGCAGTAAATATGGTGCATTAATGCATGTGTAGAGCTGCAGGGAGCTGCAAGCACCCACAAAGTAATCACAATGTGACATACTGATATTATATTGCATCATCCTACTTTTATTATAACTTTTATTGGTATGTGATGACACCCAGCTGCAAAGTTAAAGTACAAGGTTGAGCGGTTATTTTCTCTGCAACTTTACACAAAGACAAAATGGTTCTTCAGCTGCCAAAAGACAAGAACTGTAGTATCACAAAAAACAGGGCTGGAAGGGGCCTCAAGAGATTTTCTAACCCAGCCCCGGTTCAAGGCAATATCATCACTATATAAACCGTCCCAAACGTTGTTCAACCTGGACTTAAAAACTTCTAGTGATGGAGATTCCACAGCTTCTCTAGGTAAACCTTTTCTGGTGCTTAAGAGCCCTCACAGTTAGAAAGTTCTAAGCATCGAATTTAGCAACCTGCTCTTGTATTTAAGGATTAAAGTTTTGCAGCAATTAGTGAACAGTACTACAATTAAACCTCTCCTCACTTTTCACTCCCCCTGAGCCCTAAGGAGCTGGCTAAGAAACATTTCTACAGGATGGTCACATTTCTAGAGGATGATGATGTCTATCCTACATCATTTACACTAAAAAGCTATAAACTTGATCATTTGAACCAAATTATTACTATTTTATAGTGTATGGAACTGAAATACTTTTCCTTCCGAGCTGAAAAAATATGCACTGCTTCAGTACTGAGATGCTATCTCCACATTTCTCCCCTAATACATTAATAAGTCAATATTAAAATGAATATCCCCTCATTTTCCCTTATTCTGTTTATTCACAGCACTACCCCATCAACCAACAAGCTCTCTGGAAAAAGTGTACTGCATGATCATGCTACATTTTTATCTCTTTTCTGCCTCATAAGAGCAGTCCCAAAGCAGCACTGGCTGGTCTCTTCAAGCCAGGTTCAGACACATTGTTAAGGAGGACCCAACATTTATGATTTCCAAACCTGTAGCCAAATAGCTTCCCCAAATATATAAATCTGCCTTTCAGGGAGACAGTATGTTCTTGTTAAACACTGGAGAGGTGTAGCTATGTTAGTCTGTTAGTTAGGCATAAGGCAAGATAGGGTGGCACCTTCTAAACTAACTAATTCAGAGAAATATGAACTTTCATAGTTCACAGGCTACCTTGTCAGATGCTAAATTGATAAGATTTCCTACTAAACCCAGTGTAAGAAAATTAACAGTACAATAAGAAAATGTCAAGTTAATTGAACTACAGTGTACAAAACCCCCGGAATATCCGAATTCAGCGCAAACATAATTAAATGCTCTTTGACAAACAGTAACACTACACTGTTTCCCTGAGTTTGTGTATATTTTAGGTTCCAGAGGGTAGGGAGGAATGGGACAGATTAATAATCACAATATCAGTCACACTATCCTATAAACCACATAGGCGTCTTCATAAATGGTTTATACCTCTTCGCACTATTTCCAGTTGTTTCTGGAATGGCAATTGTTTATTCATCATCAGATACAGGTTTATGAAGTCCCCAAAACTGAAAGGAAATTCATTATTTGACATTCTATACTATGATAAAAGAATTAAATGGAAATCCATGGTTACACTAATGACCATGGCTTGTGTGAACAGTGTATAAATATTTCACGCCCAGTCTTACCACATCTGTTTATGATGTTGGTGCCAAGTAACATTCCATTAAGATAAAGTCTCTTTTCCTTGCCCACCCAACCCTATTCTAGTCCCAGGGGTTTGCACCACCAAGCAGGAGAGGAGCTAATGTTGTTCCTTCCTGGGTTCCTGTCCTATTGCTATATCCTCTCTACTTGCTTAGCAGTGAAACAGGCTGCAAAGGCACAGCTGGGAAGGGAGAAAACAGCGGTAGAAGGAGCACCGAGGTAGGACCCTCACCAAGCTGCCTGCAAACAGCAGCCCCTGGTGGCAGGTGACAGATTAAAAAGACAAACTCCATCCCTGCTAGCTGCCTTGTGTTGACCTAGTAATCAGCAGCATTAATAAGCCACCCATCCCCAGAATGGCTGTATAACTAAGCAATGAAGGAGAGTTTCAGCTTTGACAAATTAAATAAGTGGCCACTGTCATGCCACACTAACAGCAGCTTTTCAGTCCTGAAAATAATTGTATTCAAGGGCCTTCCACAACATAAACCAGCATTGACTCTACCTCCTATCTTTGTTGTTTCAAATAAAATAAACCAATGGCTGTAATACTTTTAACTTGCTTATTTGTAGTGGACAGTTTCCATCTTTTTATCATCATCTCATTCATCCCACCCTTATTCCAATGAAGTCTTAGGGAGTTGCACGCACTCAACCATTTGAAAAATCAGGCCATTTGTATTTTGTTAACTAAGTTATAACTTCTGATTTAGGTCCCTAAGTCCCCCTCTATATGTTATACTTAAGGCATGATTAACCAATAATCACACCGTAAGTTGTGACCCATCTACACATTCAACGAATTAATGGAGTCAGTGGCAATGTGTAGGGGGTGCACAGTGGTACATGTGCACCCCCTGAGAGTGCTGGTACACCCCGTCACAGCCAGCATTCCTGGGCAGGAGGTGGGCAGGCGAGAGTGCTGGTGCCCTCCCCTGAGAGTGCTGACGGGGGAGTGAAGCTGCCAGGAGAAGCGGTTCCCCCCACAGCCAATTGTGCTCACCCAGAAGTGCCAATGGGACCCCTTCTTTGGTCTGTGGGATCAGCCATGGGGGGACCCTCCCCCCCGGTTGTCGACTGGCTACTGGGAGGGGGGCAAGTGCCCCCCTCCCCGACTCAGGAGGCACCAGTCACCCATGAATGGAGTGATAAAATAAGCAACAAGCTACAAAGTTATTCCACAAAAAATGTGGAATACCTTTGAAGCTTGTTCTAATCATACCAGTAATTAAACATGTAACCAAGTGTTCCCCTTGTGGCTGGGAGCCCCATCAACTGAGGGTCTCTCAGGCACAGGCTGCTAGCCCCACAGCTGACAGGGTTCACAGTGGTGGTAGCATTCCTGGCACTGCCCCCACTGTGAGACTTGTCAGCTGTGGGACTTGCTGCAAAGAGAACCCTGCCCCCCGCCCCATGTGAGCCTTGTCAGGTGTGGGGTTTGCAGAAGGGCTCACAGAGCGGGCAGAAGGGAAAATGCTACCACAGTTATAAGCCTTGTGAGGTGCAGGGATTGCAGCAGGAGCAGCAAAACATATGGCATGGCAGAAGGCATAATTGTGTGGATCATACATGAAATCCCATTCCACCTTTACCTGCAGGTGTAGAAGGGCCCCAATTTTAAGTGGCCAACTTTGTAAATTTGGATCTGGAGTTTCTTCAAGTGAAACTACTGCAAGTCCTTGAGACGTCATCTTCAGTTGTGTGGGGTATAAGCCTTATTTTTAAGTTTTTCTTTCAGGAGTCTTCTAATAAGAATCCATCCCTTACTAGGTATAGTCAAACTAACTAGAAGTCAAAACAAATATCCCTCTTATATTGGGATAGCCAGTTCAAAGATTTATGGACAGAAGGCAAACATAAAATGCTTAAGAGCAGGACAAAAGCTCTAGTGCTAGTATCAAACAAGATCAATCTAAGTTAGTCACACTTAGGTACTTGTAAAAGTTATAATACTTGGCAACTGCACTAGGAAACAAATCTATTCCACCCCCCTCCCACCCCCGACCCTGTCTTAATGGCAGTTTATGATCAATTTCAAACTACTGATGGTCAATTAACAGTAACAACTGTAGCATCAGCACTGGGATTGTGTGTCACAGCCATTGATAGAATTCAGGTCTGCAAGTAAAAGACATCTAAACAAAACCAAGGCAAGTGCTGGCTCTCTCCAGTCTTGAGGAGAGTCAGAATGGTACCGACAATGTTTATGCACAGAGAGAACTAATATATACCCACCCAGTCACTGCCAATTGGAGAAAAAAAAACAGGCTCAACATGGTGGCCAAATGCATCACCATGGAAGAAAATCTTTTACAAATGAATAGTTCACACAAGCGATGAGGTCTTGAGAAGTCAGTTAATGACAGATATCTCAAACTCTATCCTAGGTATGTCTCTGTGGATTTTATTATCCAGATGTATGATTTTGCAATAACTGAGATTTGGATT